AGAAGGAAGGAAAGATACCTGCTCTATGGGAAAACCCACCAAAGTCTTTCCAAGAACAGGCGAGGAATCATGCTCAACCCCTGTACACCCCGAGTAAAATACCAAACGTCATCATCCTAAAGAGACTAAACAACGCCCTGCATTACAAATTATGACCGGAACAGGCTGCCTGTCTGACTCGTTGGATTCAGGAAAAACAAATCATTTGCCCTTCAAATTACAACGCTACGCTAATCATCATCATTATAACAGAGTATAGAATGTCAGTCAATTCAACTCGACCTCAACTGCATCGATTTCGGAAAGGCTTTCGACAACGTCGACTGAAAACTAATCTGACAGGCACCTGCTTCAAAACTACGGTTTTAGTGCCAAAAACCTTTATCAACCTCATTCAACACCAGTTATATGCTATATGACGACGTTACATGCCAAGTGATCCACAATGGAAAGCTCAGCTCAGTGATGCCTTTGAAGTGAAGTGAAGTGAAGATAGGAGTAAGACAAGGTTACCACCTACTATCACCGATCATCTTCATGATTGTGGTCGACTCAACTCAACTCGACTCGACTCGACTGGAGTGGAATGGAGTGGACAGGATACGACTGGACTAGAGTGGACTGGATGATGCAAGAAGCTGTGAGAAGTTTTGAGAAGATAGGCATACTCTGGGTGGAGCGATGAGAAGACGACAGAGGTAGATTTGGATTTCGCCAAAGATGATGATTTATGTCTAATGTCTAATGTCGCACAAACTCGAAGATCTACAGGCGAAAAACAACAAGTTGAGAGAAGAGGAGAGGCAGGGCAGTGAAGACGAGACTTGTTTGAAGTGAACGTGGAGAAGACAGAGGTAGAGGTGATGAAGATACCCAACCAACAACAACATCAACAACAACAAGAAGAGTGAATCGACATGAAGGAAAGAAACCTAAAGGAAGTAGTCTCCTTCACCTAACCACCTACTGCCTACATCGGCAGACAGCATCGTTGCAACTACAGGTGGCACAGGCACAGATGAGGATATCGTAGCCAGCGAGGATCGGATAGACAGCAAGACGTGCGTTCCTGCAATAATCTGAAATGATGAGTGTCGAGGTCTACTACACTGCACTACACTGCACTCAGCATAAAGTGTGAACAACATCCGGATTTTCAACACCAGCATCAAGTTAATGCATGTATATGGTTCAGAAACTTGGCGTGTAATGCGGAAAATATTTCCAACAAACTGCAGACATTCATCAACAGTTGCCTACGCTCGATACTTAAGATCAGATGACCAGAAGGAATAAGCAACAAGGAACTCTGGCTGGCTGGCAACTAACCAACCAAGAATCTATCACCCAACAAATATGCAGAATAAAAAAGTGGAGATGAATTGGATGGGGCATACATTGAAAAGACCATTCAGGGACATCACACGCCAGGCCCAGTCACTCGAGTGGAATCCAAAGAGGAAACGACGAGTTGGGCATCCGAGGCAAGGGTGACATGGAGGAGATGGTGTAAGGAAAAAAAGAAAGCTTGTAGACAGTGGTGTAGCCAGGTTAAAAGAGAAGATTGCGTAGAAGAGAGTGAAATGGCGACGTGCTACTGAAGCCCTATGTTCAACTAGGAACCCAAAGGACAAATAACCATACATAGGGTTACACTAACGACTTTTTAAGCACAACTTACTACTCATTATCAAAACAAGGTGATGTAATACTATTACAGATATTGGATTAGACCCAATATGTAAATGAGTAAATAATTCTGTCAGACTCCATGATATTGTAAAGGTTGTTTAGTATAAAGGTATAGTATTCATCAGTGCAAAAGTATATCATATATCATATATTCGAAGACTAGAAAATAATTACAAGGTGTAGTGTTTTGTAAAGAAAATTTAAAGAGAAAAACTCTTGGTGATTAAAATAAAATAAAAATCTGATTAGCAGTTGAACTTTGTAGCTTAGTTAGTAGAGTATCGGATCGGTAACCCAGTGGTCAATAGTTCGAATCCGGTTACAATCGAAATTTTCATTTCACTTTCAATTATCACTTCAGTATAGAATGAGAAAAGAGAATGACTTAACTTAACTCATCAATTCTTGTCAAAAACAAGTTATGTGTTGTTGTTGTTGTTTTTTTCTTCAATATTAGGAAAATTTAATGTCACAAGATGTTACTTGTTCACCTTTTTTTCACATGTAAGCATCAATTAATTACGTTTGATATGTAGATGTATACATGAAATAATAAAATTGTATTGTAATTGAAATAATCATAGTATGCTAAACCTATTGACTGTTAATACTTCCATCGATACAACTATTTTATACTGACTCACTTGAGTATTAATAATGATAATAAAGTCAGCGATCTAAACAATGAATGAATGAATGAATGAATCGTATCTCTTAAAACTTTGATGTATACCAAAGATTGAAAGTGGAACAAGTTGAGAACAGGTCACTTAATTTGAATTTGTAAGCAATTTTTTTCAAGACAAACAGACAGACATAGAGAAAACCAACGTAGAACCTTACACAAGGTAGATAAAGTTGTAAGACAATAAACAATCTTAATATAACAGTTATATCCACGAGTTAATCGTCAACCATTAATCCATTCTATCTTTTCGGGACCCTAACCAAAAGTCAGAGACTTTATCGATTGTTGATATGTCTTAGTCTGGTCATTGTGAATCTTCTCTTCGAATCTACTTCAACTCAACCGAGTATGTCACATCAAGGTAGATGGTAAGCCGACATGCAAAGTACATGACAAAACCATTTCAGTCAACTAAGGTTGATAACATCATCACAGTCTCAAAGAATAAAATTTATTTGTCCTACTTCAAGGTCAGCTTTTAAGTACATATTGTTGTCCTGACTTGACTTAAACTTTGTGACTTATAGAACAGTTCTCGTCAATCAAGAGATTGTCGTCTTCACCAGTTAACAGAACATTCATAAAGTTGCTCAGTTACAACCTTAAAAAGTTGTGCACATCCCATTTTTCCTAATTAAACGTGAATTAACAATTATAATCACTATCTTACCATGACTATTATTATTATTATCATTATTATTATTATTATTATTATTATTATCATCATCATTATTATTATTATTATTATTATTATTATTATTATTATTATTTGTCTCTTGGGTACCTAGTGGAACATAGGGCTTCAGTAGCACGTCACCATTTCACTCTCTTCTACGCAATCTTCTCTTTTAACCTGGATACACTACTGTCTACAAGCTTTCTTTTTTTCCTTACACCATCTCCTCCATGTCACCCTTGCCTCGGATGCCCAACTCGTCGTTTCCTCTTTGGATTCCACTCGATTGACTGGGCCTGACGAGTGATGTCCCTGAATGGTCTTCTCAATCTATGCCCCATCCAATCCATCTCCACTTTCTTATTCTGCATATTTGTTGGGTGATAGATTCTTGGTTGATTGGTTGCCAGACAGCCAGAGTTCCTTATTGCCTATTCTTATTATTCTGACAATCTGATCTGCATCTTCAGTATCAAGCGAGCGTAGGCAACTGTTGATGAATGTCTGCAGTTTGTTGGAAATACTTTTCGCACTACACGCCAAGTCTCTCAACCATCAAATAGAAGCACTAACTTGATGCTGGTGCTGAAAATCCGGATGTTGTTCACACTTTATGCTGATGGTGACTGATACTTGTTGTTGTTGTTGCTGGTTGGGTATCTCCATCATCTCTACCTCTGTCTTCTCCACGTTCACTTCAAACAAGTTCCGTCTTCACTGCCCTGCCTCTCCTCTTCTCTCAACTTGTTAGTTTTCACCTGTAGATCTTCGAGTTTGTGCGACATTAGACATTAGAAATAAATCATCATCGTTGGCGAAATCCAAATCTTCCTCTGTCGTCTTCTCATCGCTCCACCCAGAGTATGCCTATCTTCTCACAACTTCTCACAGCTTCTTGCATCATCCAGTCCACTCTAGTCCAGTCGTATCCTGTCCACTCCATTCCACTCCAGTCGAGTTGAGTCGAGTTGAGTTGAGTCGACCACAATCATGAAGATGATCGGTGATAGTAGGTGGTAACCTTGTCTTACTCCTATCTTCACTTCACTTCACTTCAAAGGCATCACTGAGCTGAGCTTTCCATTGTGGATCACTTGGTATGTAACGTCGTCATATGGCATATAACTGGTGTTGAATGAGGTTGATAAAGGTTTTTGGCACTAAAACCGTAGTTTTGAAGCAGGTGCCTGTCAGATTAGTTTTCAGTCGACGCTGTCAAAAGTCTTTCCGAAGTCGATAAAGTTGAGGTCGAGTTGAATTGACTGACATTCTGTACTCTGTTATAATGATGATGATTAGCGTAGCGTTGTAATTTGAGATGCACATGATTTGTTCTTCCTGAATCCAACGAGTCAGGCAGGCAGCCTGTTCCGGTCAGAATTTGTAATCCAGGGCATTTTTTAGTCTCTTTAGGATGATGACGTTTGGTATTTTACTCGGGGTGTACAGGGGTTGAGCAATATTCCTCGCCTCTTCTTGGAAAGACTTAGGTGTGCCTTTTTGTGAGTTTGACAAGGTAGCCCTTCTTCCATAGAGCAGGTACCTTTCCTTCCTTCCAAACCTTCTGCAGTAGTGATGCGAGCATGTCCTATGACTGTGAAACTATAATTCTTGCTGAGAACCATTATACCAAAACAACAGAATACGGCCTTTCACAAATAAAATTTCAAGTTTACACGACACACTACTAAACAAACTCATACTATTTAGTAGTATGATACGAAATCCATTCAGTAACATTGTACACAAGCGTACTATAGGTACTGAGGCATACCTATTGTACATGACGGTTAACGATGATTCTATTCGATTGCCCAAACCTCGATAGGTGGAGTGAGGTTCCACCTTACGACTTATTATGCCACAACTTCAACTATATATATATCATCGATAATACAACAAAGAGTAAATTAATTAAGGGGTAAAGTATATCGTATCACTTACCCAAAAGTAATATTTGCAGCATTCTCATGATGACCAGGAGCACAAATATGATAAACTGTAAAGTGTTCAGTGATAACACGCATATCAGGATTATTGAATAAACTAAGAAACGATGTATCTTGTAAATTTTAATTGAAAAAAAAAAGAAAAACAAAATAAATGATAAATAAATAGACAATGGGTAAACATTGAACAAATTCAATGGGTTCAATGCCAGCTAATTGTAAAAAAACAAACAAACAAAGAATTACATCAAGAATAACAATGAAAGTTTCGCGATTAAATTATTCAAGTCAGAGAACACAACATACCCATAAGATCATTTGCTAATATGATATAAGTGTTAGAAATTTACAATAAACATCCTTTCACAGACACTGTTAGGGATGCCTATATTCCTGATATTTCATACTAGCCGTTTATGTATATTTAAACTAGTTTATTTCACGCCTAAGAAAAATTTACCCCGGAACTACTCGAAGCCAAGTAGGACATCTATGCCACATCTCAGCTACATTTATGGACAACAACCTGCCACAAAGGAAGTTCTTGACGGTATCCATGAATAACTATCCAACTAGTCTACAGATGGACACTGCAAGCATCAAATATGACCATCATTTCTGAAAACCTCTATTGTCCAACAACGTGGAAGAGTAACGTATGATGTTCGACTGGGACGAAAATATGGATGCGCCACCACAACCAACTGATGGATACATTCAAACTACCATCGGTATTAATGGGCACTCCAATTACATCAAAACTTCCTCAGAATGTTGATCTACTCCCATGACGATGGAATAACCGTCGTCGCTAACCATAAGTACCAATACAAGTCAACCCAAACAAAATACATTGATGAATTCATTAAGAAGGGGAAATGTTAGGCATGCCTATATTCCTTATGCTCCATACTTACCGTTTGTGTATAGTTAAACTGGTTTATTTCACGTTTCTCTTTCCCGCACATAAGTTAGTTAATATTTCCTATGATCCACTAGAGTTCTGATTAGCTCCTATCTCTTGAAATGTACTATTCCTTGTCTTTCAAGGCTACTGTAAACTCTATAAATACGCGTCCATTTTCTCTCGTAACGTTTTCAGCTCGAGATATTATAAACTCAGTTGAATTCCAGTCTTTCGATTCGGGTTGAATCGTCTTAACCCTCAACTTATCAATCATTAAGTATTTTCGTTTGTTCTCATAACTCCATATTGCAACGAATAGAGAATGGGTGAACTTTGAAATCAACCAAGTTAGACATGTGAGTCGACTGACAATATAACAGTATGTTATGAATCAATCATAGTTGGGACCTGAAGGTTTTGGGTTGAATCCCTGACAGAGATTGTAAGGACACACGACATAGGAATACCTTCTAGTGATTGAATAGTTCTTCAATTGATCTCATTTCATGATGAATACCACTCTGAAATCAACAAGATTGCTATAAATCTCCAAAATCAAAAATTTATAGTTCTATATATCAATCTCAACAACTAAATGGATAAAAATAATGATGATAACGATAATTATCAAAAGTATACTACTTATTACTAAGGATAAAGAGTAATATGATGCGGTGATATAAGTTTTCTTGTTTGAATGGAAAATAATGATAATGACATATAACACATAATAATATGGTTAGTTGAAATTATACCCTGATTTGATCTAAAATATGCTTATTCCACCTTGTGTGCTTCAGACTTAATTTTAAGACATTTTCAACTCTCTACCTCAACTTCATCGACTTTGAAAAAGGCCTTTAACAGCGTCGACCGAAAAATAATTTAAAAGGCAGTTGCTTCAACACTACGGAATACCACAAACCTTTATCAATCTCATTCAACAACTACATGAAGACACCACATGCCAAATAATTCACAATCGAAACCTCAGTGATGTCTTCGAAGTGAAGACAAGAGTAAGACAAGGCTACCGCCTACTATCATCCATCATCTTCCTCATTGTGGTCGACTGGATCTTGCAAAAAACAATGAGCAGTGAGAAGACGGGGATACGCTGGACCGCAGAAAACATCCTAGAAGACTTGGATTTCGCCGATCACCATTCATCTCTAATGTTACACAAACTTCAAGATCTAAAGGCAAAATCCAAAAAGATGACAGAAGAGGCAAGGCAGGGCAGGGCAACGAAGACAGGACTTCAAGTGAATGTAGAGAAGATAGAGGTGATGAAGATACCCAACCAACGACAACAACAACAACAAGCGCCAATCACCATCAATGGGAGGAACTCAAAGCAAGTAGCCTCTTTCACCTATCTAGACAGCATCCTCCCAACTACAGGTGGCATAGGCACAAACGAGGACGTCAAAGCCAGCCATGATCAGAAAACCAAGACACAGGCTTTCATTAGCCAGCCTGAAATCAGTGTGCAGATCTTCTGCACTCAACATAAAGCGTCAACAACATCCACATTTTCTACGCTAACAACCACAGTCAAGTCACTGATTCTCTATGGCTCACAGACTTGGCACGTTATGAAAAGCATTTCCAACAAACTACACACATTCATCAACAACTGCCTACTCTGACTTGTTATTGAAGATCAGATGAGAAGGCCACAAAGAATAAACAACAAGAAACTCTGGCTACCTGGCAACCAACCAACCAAGAATATATCACCCAACAAATATGCACTGGAAGGAAGTGGAGATGGATTGGATTGGGCATACACTGAGAAGGCTGAATGGGGACATCACGTGTCAGGCCAGGCAGTCGAGTCGAACCCAGATGGGAAACGACAAGTTGGGCATCGGAGGCGTGGGGGGTGATATGGAGGAGATGGTGTGAGGAAGAAATGAGAGGTTGTGGGTTGTCGTGGAGTCAGGTTTAAAACATTGTAGAGAAGAGAGTGAAATGGAGACGTGCTACTGAAGCCATATGTTCTACTAGGAACCGAAGGGAAAAATAAATATTATAATAATAATCATTATAAAATAATGAGATAATGAATGCAACATTGATGCATAGTTTTATCAATGAAAATCAACTGGATTTCTCTTGGTAAGCATATGATTGTGAATCAGTCGGTGATTGATGATTAGACAACAGAACCTGCCTTAGAATGATAAAACTTTAGTAGTACTATACCGAAATGTAATCCCATATTAGACTTGTTCATTTTATATACAGTATTATTTACTGGATGACAAAGTTTCGAGCATCAATTAGTACTGCTCATAATTCATATCAATGTAATCACAATCCACTTTCGACATCTGTTGCTTTCATAGTCCAGTCACCTCTTATTTTTTTTTGGTTTTTATTAGTAGTAAAGTTTTTCACATCTCTGGTATACGTGTTGTGTCATTCCTATTACATATATTGGGTAGTTGGTTGATTCGATTATTATTAATATTATTACTATTATTATTAGTCCCTTGGGTTCCCAGTAGAACATAGGGCTTCAGTAGCACGTCTCCAGTGAACTCTGTTCTCTGAGATCTCTTGAACCTGGCTCCACGACAGCCCACAAGCTCTCATTTCCTCCTCGCACGATCTACTCCATGTCACCGTCATCTCGGACACCCAAGTCGTCGCTTCCCATGGGGATTCCACTCGAGGGCCTGACGCGTGATGTCCTCAGTCGGCCGTCTCAGTGCATGCCCAATCCAGTCCATCTCCACTTCCTTCCTATGCATATTTGTTGGGTGATAGGTTCTTAGTTGGTTCGTTCCCAGAGTTCCTTGTTGCTTATTCTTTCTGGCTATGCCATCCGATCTTCAGTAGCCAGCGTAAGCAGTTGTTGATGAATGTCTGTAGTTTATTGGAAATCCCTTTCGTGACGCGCCAAGTCTCTCAACCATACAGAAGCACTGACTAGACTGGATTGGTGTTGAAAATCCGTATCTTGTTCCACATGCTGAGTGCAGAAGATCTCCACACTGGTTTCAGGCTAATGAACGCCTGTCTTGCTTTTCCGATTCTGACTGACTTTGACATCCTCGTCTGTGCCTGTGCCACCTGTAGTTGAGACAGTGCTGCCTAGATAGGTGAAGGAGGTTACTTCCTTTAAGTTTCTCCCGTTGACGGTGATTGGAGTTTGTTGGTGGTGGTGGTAGTGCGGTATCTTCATCACCTCTGTCTTCTCTATATTCACTTGAAGTCCCGTCTTCACTCTATTCTAAACAATATGTATAACATAGTATGGAATTCTCAGCATGTAATTTTTCAACTAATTCACTCCAAGAACCAATACTTTCATATGAAACGGTTATTGCATAGGAATGATGTAATAACAATAACAGTATTCAAGGCAATAGCCAACTGGTTTTAGATGGGCATCAAGTCTATAGTGAAGAATCAACATAAATGTGAGCGTAATTTTTGTGGTGGTGGTGGTGGTGACACTTCATTCCGACGGTACAAAAATCTGCAACGAATAGAAATATAATGTACTTTTTTTGCATTGAAAACTCCACTTCTATACAATGAAACATTTTTTTTCTCTGCTTTGTGATGGATTCGAGAAACGGCGAGTTGAAAACAGTTTAACAATGTGCAAGAGTATATGATACGTTCAAAAAACATATTTAAATGAATGAAACAAATTGAAAGGAAAGAAGGTGATGAAAAATGTTCGATGGATAAATTTGGTAGCCTAAGGTTCAAGCAGGCAGCTGCCTCTCTCTCTCTACCTAATTATACTGCATTTGAGTTCAGTGGTTTTATCCACCACCCTATTGTGTGTTGACATATACGTGGATTACAATAGACGAGGTTCTCTTCTAGATGATTGATCCTGTTGTTATGTTCCGCTATTCTAACTAACCCAGATCGGCTAGTTTTAACTATGTACTTGACCTGACTCACAGTCATTACATGGAATTTGATAGATAAAATTATTTTGCTTAATTGATTCTATTGCATTCTTAAGTCAACCGACAAAGCTTATCTCTGAGTGGGTTTGTAGATTTATATGATACCCTAATTCCAGCTTTGTTGACGATCCTAAGTAAGGTTCCTGATATATCTTCCTTATAGGCTGACACAATGTAGGCTGTGAACTCCTTTGTACTTGTAGTGTCGTTATTATTCATACTTGTGTAACCGTTATTATTACGTTTCTTATGGGTTCTTATGAAT